CTCTGGGAAGAGCATGTATCTGGGGGGACCACTGCCACAGCCACGACAAGCCTGCTGTCTCTCACGGGCACGGCTCCTCCAGCCGGCAGTCACCTCTCCGGAAGGCAGACGCACCTCCTAGCCAGGCTCATGCTCCCCTGGGGATCTCCTTTCTCCGCTGACAAGGTCCAGAGAGCCACGCTAAAGGGCAGGGCGGGGGTGGAGCCTGAGTGGTCTGTTACCAGCAGCAAGTGGGACCACTTCCTCAGCCAAGGCCACCCCGCCGAGATCCCTGCATCACAGACTGCAACTCACCCTCTGAGGCACAAGCAAAAACTAATTTTTCCTACAGCAAAGCAAGGGGCCAGTTCCCCTAATGGAACAGCCATGAGCTGGGAACGTCAATGCCCAGCTCTATTCTGACGGTCAGGTCTGCGGCTCCGACCACGCAGAGGAAGGGCTCTTTTCAGGTAAGCGCATGTAGCTGTTCCTATTCTTCGCTGTGCTCAGAGCCTCAGATCTCATACAGCGGCTTTTCTTAGCCTTGTGCCTCCAGAGCGGGGAGCAGATCCTTTGAATCTGGGAAATGCGGTGACATTATATACCCTACGCGGGTGTCTGCATTGGCGCGATCTTGCGCCAAAGCGGCCCCTTTCGTGCAAAAACACGCTGCCTGTCTACACTGGCGGGGAGTTCTCGCGCAAGAACACGGACGTTCTAATGTATAAAATCAGGGCTTCTTGCGCAAGAACTATGATGCTCCCGCTCAGGAATAAGCCCTCTTGCACAACTGTTCTTGCACAAGAGGCCAGTGTAGACAGGCAACATGAATTTCTTGTGCAAGAAAGCCCGATGGCTAAAATGCATTAAACACAGTGTCAAGGTAGCGTAGTCAACACTCGGATGTATTATAGTGCCTTGGGCAGGGGCCTGTCCCCCAGGAAGAAGCAGGCTTAAGACAAGGAACAGGGCTTGGTAAAAAGACCTTTGAAAAGTGGCGTAAGAAACAAGACAAGCGCGGGAGTAAAGGCGCAATAGCTGAGGTTACTCAACGACCGAGCCCAGCAGGAGGTGTGGCTCATGT